AAGGCAAAAGGCATAGTAGAGTAAGAGAAAGACAGCGAAGGTAAGCACCAAGGGACCTAGAGCTATCCAGGTGCAAGCTCTCTAGGATCCTTATTCCCACAGGGGACATTTCATCTGTGGATTGTGCTACCAAAATCTGCACATTGAATATTGGCTTTAAGACAGCTTGAGGCAGAAGTTCCCAGTGTAGTCTTTTTATGACAGTCAAATCACGTAGCTAAGTCGGCCTGTCTAATAAAATATGCCAGGTGAAATCCATCAGTAGACAAACAGGCTTGGGCTGTCACTGGTGGGATTTATGTGTATTATAAATCCCAGGCACCTTAATGTAACCAAGAATCAAAGACAGATACTCAGACACCTCCATAAATAATCATAGTCACCCAAGACCAGCTGTAAATTAAGCTTATTCTACAACAGTGTACCAGACAAAAAAGGAAAACATCTGTATGCTAGAAGGGGATAAAAGTATTCTCATGGTGTAACAGCAGCAGTTTGTCCCAACACCACCCAGAAACAATATATAATACCTACAATTCCACTATGATTGCTTCTTCTTGTGTAGATCTAGAGTCTTCTCCCTATGTGAAAACCAGGCTTTCCAACCAATACCAACTCAGGACCACCCAAAACAGCGTCCCATGGGGTTGGGACTGAAAATTTACATTTTTGAATAAGCTTCTTAAAAGTATTTCTTCTTTTTGTCTTCTTCTCCTCCTCCCCTTCTTTCCTCTCTCCCTTCCTTCCTTCCTTCCTTCCTTCTTCCCCCTCTCCCCCTCTCTCCCCACTCTCCCTCTCTCCCTTTCTTCTAATTGTTTTTAGACATCCTACATTTGAGAAGCACTAGCTTAGATATCTTAAGGGAATTAGCTATCATATCCACAATGTCCATATATGTAATGCAATATATAATATAATGTACTTGTTTTCCTGTCTTGAGGTTCAAAGAGGAAAGTTGCCCAAACCCAGGTATATTTGGGTATCCCAAGGAATGGAGTTCACCTTCGCATGTGATGAAGAATGTCCCGGGCCTACTTGACCCCTAGCATCCAAAAGGGAAAGAAATTACAGGAGTCATGCAAACTATACCTAAAGCCCAGAGAACTTAAGAACCTAACAGTGTGTATAGTCAGAGTTATCCCAGAGAATCCAGAGCCATCACACAAGTCAGTTTTTTTGAAGCAGATTACAACTTACTGAGCAAAAGCCAAGAGAAGTGGTAATAACCGATCTGAGGACCAGGGGTAATTCCTAGTTTTTGAACCAAATATTGCCTTACCTGTAAGATCCAAATGTATTGGAGGAAGCTAAAATTTAATGTTGGACTTCTCTCCAATTAGGTAAAGACAAACTTAATATGAATCAAGAAATAAAGTCCACGATTTTCTACCCAAAGAGTCTTGGGCATTAAATAACTTTTACAATAATACTTCATGATTACATAAAAATGCTTTCATCATTTTTCATCAAAATGCTTTCTTTAATGTTATACCATTAATATGAATTACCTACAAGGTGAATTTCTATTTATTGTTTAACATTCAACTCAAATGTCCCTTCCTCTGCAAAGGCTTTTCTCTTCCCTGGGAAATGTAATTGCTTTTTTCCTCTGTGTTCATATGACATTTTGCACACATTCCTACTATAGGACCTAGATCATAACTGACTATTTAAATGACTAGTTTCATAGGAAGCTCATCTCCCAGGATATAAGCCTTGCTTCGTTCACCCACATGTCCCCAGTTTCTTAAAAAAAAAAATGCCTGGCACAAAGCAGATGGTAAAGTATAACATAAAATTAGATAAATGGGTAGATATATGAGAAGTCACAGCAACTGTTGGATGAAGAAAAAGAAATTAGTTAATTTCTGTAACTTTGTATTTTCTATTTTTTAATAACATTTAGTGTAGTCTGGCCTTCTGAATAACCCTTTTATACTATTTGACTTTTTTAAAGAAATAAGCAGCATTGGATTACATATAATTGGCCTATGAATTGTTCAACTACTTTCTGGATTACTTCACAGAAGAAGAGATCCTGCTTACATATTATAAGAAATAAAGTGTGGGGGGCTGGCGGAGTGGCTCAGTTGGTTAAGAGCATGAGCTCTGAGCAACAGGGTGACCGATTCGATTCCCAGATGGGCCAGTAAGCTGCGCCCAAGCTGAGCTGCTGATGAGCTGCTAACAGGTGTCAGGATGGCTCACCTGGTGAGAGCATGTGTTCCTAACAAGATTGCCAGTTGGACTCCTGCATGGGATGGTGGGCTACACCCACCTGAGCTAGCTGCGCCCTCCACAACTAAGACTGAAGGATAACAACTTGGCTGTTCCCCTTCCCTGGTTCCCTAACACTGTTCACCTTCCCCAATTCCCCAGTAAAATCTTTCAGGAAAAAAAAAAAAGAAAGTGTGAAATTTAAATGCTGAATTAAAATGTGCATTCTCCCAAGCAGGAAATATGAGAAACTTATTAACAGCTTCAGAAATCACTTTTTCTAAGAAATATACCATTTTTTTCTTCCTAGCCAAAAACAACATATGCTAATGAAAATAAAAACCCACTTATAAACATGTTTNTTTTTTTGGTACTTGTAATTGTTTTAGTCTGCATGCTGTTATGCATGCAAAAGGTCATAGGAAGCACATTGTCACATTTTAGCTCCATGTGCCAAATAGCTTCATTAAGGTTATTTATCCTGAAAATAACTGGAAGTGTTAGTTTGACTTTTAGTCACTGATATAATTATTTTTTTAAAGGAAGCATGTCATTTACATAATATTTTAATTTTCAGTTACATAATATTAACTCATTTTGTTTTGGAAAGGAAATGATAAGTACCTTGGATCTAAATAATTTACTCAATTATGAATGTCTACAGATGGCTACCTTTCTTCTATTGCAAACCAAGAGAATTTTACCAATATCTTTATATTAGGTTAAGCTGGGATATTTTCCCATTCAAATACTGTAAACTCACACCTAAAGAAATTAGAAATGTCAGGGCAAATATACTACTCAGTTGATTTTCCAGGGTAGGATTATACTTAACAGGACTTCTAACCCTAAGTAACTCAAGTAACCCAAACAACTAATTTAATTAACCTTCAAAATTACATTTCAGAAAATATAAAGCAATTGCCCAAATCTTTGGTTGCATTAGGTATTTGGCTGTGAATAAAATTAAAAAAAAAAAACTGAAGTAAACTTTGCAAAAACAGACCCACAACACCATTCCATGCATGGATCTCAGAAAGAGCCTGTTATGAGAATATAGTTGGACTTGCAACTCCTCAGAATAATATTCAAACAGACACATCAGTTGGAAGCTCTTCACTACAGCATCTGTTCAGTGTTTATAAGCTCTATATGCAGACTGCCGAACACCCTCAGTGCACCATAAACGTAGGAATTACACATCCAGAATGGAAATAAACTCATCGGGTGATGTGTTTGTTCTCTAGAGCTTTCGAGCCCCTTGCTTTGGTTGGCAAAACTCTGCTAGATTTTTGTTGCTGTAGAAAATATTAGACTGTTTGTGATTTTTGTAAGTTTGGAGACAAACCAGGAAAACCTAACACAGCAATAAAAGGTAAAAACATAGGCACTGAGATTATCATTATATTTTAAAATTACAGTCTCAGAGAGAGTTACAAGAGAAGCAGCAGTAGAATAAGTGAGAAAAAATGAGTAAATGAATGGTTGTTCTCCATAGAAGTTTAGCTTCAAATACCCTCTGTGGGTCAGCTCAGCCATGTAGCACACCTTGGAGAAGCTACAGATTGTACTAAGAAAGCTGAGTGTTATAATTATTAATTAGAAGTATATTTCTTACTGTAATAATCTGATAGTG